ATGGAGGGAAAGAAGTGGTTGCTCCTGGCCTTTTTCTGTTTTACTTTTTCTTTGTTCTTATTTATCTCTGGGGGCACCAACTACTGGAATGGCTATTCCAGTCCAGTGCTCCCAATACTGTGTGAATCATATGAAGGCACATGCGCATTTGGTGGTTCACTTAATGTCGCATCACTCTCTCTGCCCCTATTTTTCCCCTCTGATACTGTTGACTTGGTTTGTTTGTCTAGTATTATGATGTTATGTGACAATTTTAGCACTATCTCCTAGAAAGAGGCTGGGTTGCTGCCACTTTTATGTCTATACTTGACTATGGTGATGTTTTATACATGCATGCTTCGTCTCAAAGTTTACATGCACTGGATACTGTATACCATGGAGCTCTGAGGTTCATCACTGGTTTTAAAGTCCTCACTCACCATTGTGAACTGTATGAACGTGTTGGATGGCCTTCTCTATCAATGCGGAGACTTCAGCATTGGTATATCTTCATATACAAAGCTATTTTAGGTCTACTTCCATCCTACCTTCTGACCTACATCAGTGTAAATAACACTGGGACTTACAATCTTCGCTCACAGGATTTTTTCCTTCTGTCTGTTCCAAAAGTTAGAACTGAGCTTGGAAAAAATCCTTTTAGGTATGCTGCTCCCTCTTCATGGAACAAATTACAGAAATCTATGAAAATTAATACGCTGGTCTCATTGGTAGCTTTTAAGAGGATGTTAACTGACTTGGAGGCAGTCACATCTGGCTGTAGATGTTCTGACTGATGTGTTATTGATTGTGGTTTATTTGAAAGGATTCGCTATTTCAGTTGTTTTATGTTATTATATTTTGTACCTGTATGTATGTATGTATGTATGCATGGTTGTACTGCTGCCTATCTGGGCCAGGACACTCTTGAAAAGAGATTTTTAATCTCAATGAGTTTTTTTTCCTGGTTAAATAAAGGTGACAAAAAAAAAATCAATTTCTCCTTTGCTGAAACTTCGAGATACCCCTCGCTGCAGAATGTAGCGCGGTGACGACACGTATATACGTCACGTATGTGTTTACCGCGCATGCGCAAAGTGACGTAAGGTATGTCTATAACACGCATGCGCATTAACGTGGTGACATCGCATGCGTGTGTAATTTGCATTGCGTGGTGACGCAACACGTCATTAAAACGCATGCGCATACTTAACAGAATACTCTAATAATATGTATAAGTATTAAAAAAAACACCAAGGTGAAAAAGAAGAAGAAAAAAACCCCCAGTAAAATGTAGTACAGCACATATCTAGGATTTTAATCATGTATCATCTGAGGTAAAATTATACGGAATTTACAGTTTATTCTGTAATATATTTACAATTTATTAACATTCTGTTGCACTATACTTCACTGTGTATATTGTAACATTACTCTACACTTTAATGGCACCTTATATATTTCTTATTTTAACCTTTCCTCTGTCATGGTTCTTGTTTATATATTTATTTAGTATAATTATAGACATGTTTCTGTTACTTTGGCAATTCTGCATGTGAAATATTTAAGCCAATAAAGTATTTTTAAGTTAAATTGACTACATACTGTATATTTTCAGTCTGCATCCCATTTTATGCATGGTGCCTCCAAAAACCAAACTGATAACAGTGATCTTTTTTATTGCAAAGAACAAAACAGACAATATAATTGTGTATATATATAAAACTATAAACATGACACATAAAAATTGCATCTACAAGAAACAAAAATTGCATCTACACGTTCTGAAATTCACCTCCATCATTAATAAAACAATCAACTGAGCAGTAGCCCTCAAAGTCTTTGAAGGAATAAAACCCACGCAGGACTCCCCTCCTGCCTTTAAGTGCAGG